TTTGGTGACCCTAAGTAATGGTAAGCTGATATGGGCTTGAGGGTTTAGGCCTAAACCCTGTGTGCGGAGTCACCCAAACCCTAAGCCTGAATCCTGTGCCCTGTAGAACCGGCCGCAGTGCTGCTGCTCCAATGGAGCCTTGATAGCTTACCACAAAGATGCCACTGGGCGCTCTCTTCAGCTCTATAGGGGGGGGATCTTCTTCTTGGGTTCAGGGTTTTACCCCAAAACGGGTTGGGAGCTTTGGTTTGGGATTCCTACAAAGTAAACCTGAAGACCAGCCCTAAACCCTAGACCTTAAACTTATAAACACCTTAAGGCTCTCCTAAACCCCCAAAGCCCTAAAACCAAACCCTAAAACTCCCAGGGCCTAGCGGTCTGGCTTACAGCTCCAGCTCAGGACGCCTACCGCAAGGACTTCTGCCCCAAGACTCCCAAGTGGTATGACATCACTTCCAGCCTTAAAATCGACATCAACAGCGGCTGGCAGGCGAAGTATGTGCAAGCGAAGAAGCTCAGGTTGAACTCTGGGTTTATAGTCCCCCTTAAGTAGATAGAATATGGTTTTGGGTATATTATAATAAGATCCCCATATACCCCATATTCTATCTACTTAAGGGGCACTATACCCTCAACCCTAAACCCTAATTATATTCAAGTCTGCGCCGACGCGCCAGCCGGAAATGTTTAAGATTTTCCAAAAGAGAATTGGGAGCGCATGGCAGCTGTAAAATTATATTCAATCTGTTTACGGGGGACTATAGGGTTTAGGGTTGTTAGCATTGGTTTACCAAAGGGCTTGGGGTTTCGAGCACTTCTTGAGCGCCCTGAACCCTTCAAGCCCCGAAACCTACACCACGTAGACTCTACACTGGGTTACTGTTAAGGAATTTAGATTAAGTTACCATAATGGGTGTGTATATATATACATATGTATATGTATATATATATACAGTAAATAACAGGCTTTCCCAAATATAGTGACTTAAATTAACTTCCTTAACAGCAACCCAGTACACTCTATCAATCTCTAACCCTAGACCCAAGGAAGTGCGAGCTCCGGGACCATACCTCCGTGGCCACCTACCACAAGAAGAAGTCTGCTGGAGACAAGGCCAGTCTATGTATTATGTGATCCTTAAGGGGGTCCTTTATATGGGGGACCCATAATTAAGCTCGTTTTAAGGCCTCCCTAAGGCTCCCCAAGGTCCCAAAACGTCTCCTATTATGGGGCCCCCTTACATGGGGCCTTTTTAGGGCTTCCATAAATGTAGCCTTGGGGCGTTGTGGGATGTAGGGTTGAGGGTTTAAGAGTTGTAGGGCTTAGGAGTCTATAGGGCTAAGGGATTGAGGATGTTTTTAGGGCCTTGTGGAACCCCACGCCGCTAGACCCAATCAACAGGATTATGACAGCATAGACCCCAAACAGTGAGAGACAATGGGGACACAAAACAGCACTCCAAGAGCATGCCAAACGCTCCAGACACAAGGACCACGACAAGGACCACCACAAGAAGGAGACCAGGAAGAGACGAGCATGCCAGCAGATCACCAGGGAGATCTTACGAGATGCCCTGGTGTCAGGAGACCACCAGCAGGCCACGAGGAGACCACGACGAGACCACCAAAAGACCATGAGGAGAACTCTGGAGACCACCAGGATACGCCAGGAGACCACCAGAGGCCGAAACCACACAGAGCTATCGCCCTACGCCGAGCACCCGCGCAAGCCTTCGCATCCGAGTTCCCTCTTGGCTTGCAGCTTGGCGCAAAACACGAAACTCGACGCACATTTCGAAATTGCGGTTCCCCCTTAGCTGTGGCACTCGGATCGGAGGAGCACTACGAATTCGAGTTCGCCCTTCAGCTTGCCGTAAACCATGGAAACGATGCTTGGAGGGGCCGAAGCTGCGCGCCTGCCAGTAAAAACGACATCTAGGTCACCCCCCAAATACTCCTCACCGGCGCTGTGGGAAAGGTACGTTTTGAGTCTGAAATGCGAGCACTCCGGGAGGAAAAACGTCCGCGCTGCTGGGTGCGCCTGTCGCTGGCGCCGCGCGAGCACACCAATATGTCCGTTAGAACTTCAGAACCCCTAGTGTTGACACACTATCTCGAGAATACTGTAAGCCCAATAAGCACAGAACCCCTAAAACCTAACCTCAAAACCCAAACCCTCATCACATTTAAAATCTAAACCCAAACCCGAAACTCTGAACTTCTTGACCTTAAACCCCTACGGACGAAATCCGAAGGCCTCCGCGACCTTTGGCACAGTGGGCCAGTGGATCTCAGACCACAGGCCCAGGATCGGCGAGTACCAGGTCAGGCCCCTGGAAGGGGGTTAGGGTTTATGGGTTTAGGGGTTTAGTGTGGGGTTTCGGTTTAGGGTGGGGTTCAGAGGTTTAGGGGTGTACAGGTTTAGGGTTTGGGGCTTTGGGGGTTTGGGGTTCAGGTTAGCAGGAGCCTTTGGAGGCTTACGCTTTCAGAGCTTAAACTTTACCCTTTGCCTTCTACCATGACACCTCCCATAGTCAAGTGCAGATTCATCACATTAGAATCCCCGTTCAGATTGTATGTATGTAGGTAGTTGTGAGACCATAAACCCTAAACCATAAACCCTAAAGAGTGGATAGAAGGGGTGCTGCAAAAAAACACCAAAGAGACCTTGTTTGGGGTTTAGGGTCTGCTGTTTCGCCATTTTTCCTTGATGACAGGTGCCCGTCACCAACACCGCAACGGGGCAACTAGCCGGCATGAAGCAATGCTGTACAATTACATGCGCTACACTACGTCATGACGTACTCGAGGTATGATCCCAAACCTTAAACCCTTGTACCGTAGTTTTCCGTATTGGGCCAGGGGTAGAGTTTGGAGCTCATCCTCGGTAAAATATGCGTAGGTAGGGTTGTTTTGGGTTAAGGGTTTAGGGTTTAAGGGTTTAGGGTTTTTGCGTACGCCGGACCCTGTCTCAGAGCACCCATACAAAAAGGCCATTAAGTCGGGCTAGCCACTGGGTTTGGGGTAGCTCCGCCAAATAGTAAACTGATTATCGGCGCTGAGGCCACTTATGTTGAAAAGCAGGGTGAAGGTGTAATTGTGGTTTGGGATTCAAGGTTTAGGTGTATGCGGCGGCTGAAGCTTGTTCTTGAGGCTTGCATTGCAGCACCAGTGGCTAAGGCAACAGGGCTTGCAGACACGACGCTACTTCTACACCAATGCCGGTCTCGCAAAGAAGTACGACCACTGAGTCAGCCAACAACGAAGTAAGCGTGCCGCGGGCGGAAGTGAAAATCGGGAACTTGAGAGCCTTTTTTGGTTGAGCCTTTTCCTAACCTCCCAAACCCTGAACCCCAAAGCTATTCAAACCCGAGAACCCAAGGCCCTTGACCCAAAAGCCTCGGCACAGTCCTAAACCTTAATGCCTAAGCCTTACTCTTGGACATTGAACCGTAACCCTAAACTCGAAACCTTAAATCCTAAACTCGAAATCTGGGGACGTTTAGCGTCAAGCCTCGGCACGTGACAACAAAAAGAACCTGAACAGGAGCGCCTCCGGGCGGCCTTCTGTCCAGTCCCACCTGGTGAGACTTCCGGAGGCTTGACGCTTACCCTGGATTTAGGGTATAGGGCTAGGGAATTGAAGGTTAAGGGCTGAAGGATGTGGGTCTTTGGGTTTGGGATTGAGGTTCTAGAGTTGGGATTCAGGGTTGAGGATTTAGTTTTTAGGTTTAGATGTCTGGAGGGCTTGGACGTTTTTTGCCCATGTTGTCAGAAGTTTAAATGAGTGAAGGGAGGGTTTGAGGTTTTTTAGGACCGAGAAGTGAGGATTTAGGGCTTAATTTTCCTTAGTTAAAGAGATTTCGAGCCCCATCTAACATTCTTTTCGCATGCGGCTGTGAGATTTTGATTCCTTTGCGCTTCCTGGAGAAAGGTGCTCCAATGTGGTGTATCAAAACAGGAGGCTTAGTATTTACAATGGGTGTTAGAGCCCCGGACATATGGAGCGGGCCACCCTGGACCCACAGATCGCAAGCTAGGTCATCCCACTGCGCATTGAGTTTTCTACGTTCTTTCCACTTGATTTCCCATTGTTGCGTAATATTTTCCCATACATCCCTGGAAGACTCCTAAACCCTAAGCCCTAAACCCTAAACCCTAAGCCCTAAACCTTAAACCCCAAACCCAAGATCCTATAGCCACAGGTCTCAAGAGGCTCTTCGACGCCCTCCTGGCGAACTGCCTGCCTGTAGTAGTGGCCTTTGACACGACCTTGGGCAGTGGCAGGACTTATTGAAGGGTTACAGGCCTGTACCCCAAGGGTTGTACATTTAAATCATCAGATTCTAGGTCTGTGGTAAATAATGGGGTTTCCTTGTTACCACAAATATGTTCCTCAACAGCAACCCAGCTTAAGCTTTGCGATTGAGGGTTTGGTGTTTAGGGGTTTAAAGAGAAGACCCCCTCAACCAAAGCATATACATACGTGTATATCTCATATTCATAAACGCATATTTCCCGCCTTGGCAACGCTCTGGTTGCGTCTCTGCACATGCCGCTGGGGGGGGGGGGAGCATGACCTGTGGTCACGGGATTTTCCATAGGCTTCGGGTAGGATTCATATACTGCATGCTACTTGATAATACTCGAAGCTTGTGCTGCCCAAATCCCCCTAACCTTGGCAGATGTGATGGGAGTTTCCTAAAATCAGGGGTCCCATTTACTTATGCAGCAATTACAGCAGGAAAGCACAGCTGTTGAAGAATGGACACTTTCTGTTTACCATATCCACCAAAATTTTGCCTGCAGGAGCTGGTGGCGACACAATGGCCCTCCTTTGGAGTGTCTTGAGTTCAGATACAAAGGGTCTTTCTGGCTGCTGTCGCTATAGTCGGGCTGTTACTTCGCGATGTGTAGTGTACTTGCTTAAGTTCCCCTATTTTGAAAGCTTGATTCATGCCAGCTGGCACATGAAGCAGCTATTGACGAGTTGCGGGAGTCCAGTCATCAGGAGAGTTTTTTTCCGCTTTATATTTTTTCGTTGTCTGTTTTAGTATCCCTCATTAGCGGTTTGCTCTTGGGCCCCATCATCAGTTGTAACCCATAGTTTAAATACAGCAGCGCACAACATGGCCTTATTTCCAGAAGTCAGCCAGTGTGTGCTTCAGCGGGGCCCTTTATCGCAGAAACAGTTCATTCCTATCTGGGAAATTTAAAGCGACCTCACCGGACCTCACCCTGCAGGGTAGTTAATTCCGGGAGTAGTACCAAAATGACCTTAAATTGGGAATTGAATTTATTCTAGATTACCCTGTTCCTATGCTCACCCTGTGTCTCAGTGGGCCCAGAAGGAGGATGAGAAAGCAGGAATGACATGGGAACCTCTCCATCCAAATTGAAATCATCACCTGAATCGGCAGGAATATCATTCTTCCAACATCCGTGTGCAATTCTCGGTTCCAAAACGCTAAGCCCTAGACTCAAAACCCAAAACCTTGAACCCTCAATCCTAAGCCTGCTGCTCTAAAGCCTGAAATCTAAAGCCTCAGCCACAGACCTTCAATCCTAAATTCCGAGCCCTCAACCTTGAATCCCTGATCCAAAGCGTCAACCAAGCACCCTTTCCTGAATCCTCAATCCCAAGCCGTCCACTTTAAATCGCTAATCTTAGCGCCTCATATTTAAACCCTCCTTCTCCCAAATCCTTACCCCTTAACTGGCCTGAGCCCTAAGCCTTCAACCCTAAACCCTCAAACCCAGAACCTCAAACCTAAAACCTCAACACTAAACAATCAATTCTGAGATTAAGGGTGGACATGAGGGTCCCTCTATAAGGGTCCCTCTGGTCCCGAAAAAATCCCCTGGTAGGAACCCATGCCCCTGGATCATACGAGAAATCTAAGCCCCTAAACCCTAAATCGTAAACCCTAAACTCTAAACTCTAAATCCCAAACTGTTTAGCTCAGGTGGAGCTTGCCTTTCACTTGGGAGATTGACTGGTCACGGCTCGTGGTTGAAGTGAGCGAGGAGCCGCTGGCTATCGTAAAATTTCACGGTGGGGGACCCTGTTTAAGGGGTGACAGGGATACGTAGACAGGGATGCTAAAACTACTTGGTATATGCTACTTATATACGCTCAAGGTCCATACTTCGAAGCTTTGGCAGACTGGCTGCTGGTTAGTAGCGGCTGGTAAAGGTTTGGGGCTTTGGGGGTTGAGAGGTTCAGGGGTCAGAGGTTTGGTGTTTAAGTAGCAGCTTCCGGATGCTGAGCTCACTGGGGGATTTTGTAAGTAGGCTAATCATAGGTCCTTGCAAGCTGCACATAAACCCTAAACCCTAAAACCCTCAGACCCTAAAGCCCTAAACCCTAAACCCTAACTCCCTAAATTCCTAATCCCTAAATCCCTAAGCCCTAAAGCCCTAAACCCTAAACCCCAAATTCTTAAACCCTAAAACCCTAAATTCCGAAACCCTAAACCCTAAATCCCTAATTCCTAAAACCCTATATTCCCCCTTAAGTAGATAGAATATGGCTTTGGGTATATTATACTAAGATCCCCATATACCCCATATTCTATCTACTTAAGGGTGACTCTACATCCCAGGAGCACTTCTGGCAAGGTCGCCTGGCTCAGCAGTGCCTCGGTATGACCCAGGAGGAGGACTGGCATCTAGGGGTTAGAGCTTAGGTCAAGAATCTCATGGGTTTAGGGTTTTAGGGCTTTAGGGGTTTAGGGTTTTAGGGTTTTAGGGTTTTAGGGTTTCAGGAGTTAGGGCTTTGGTTAGAGGGTTTTGAGTCTAGGGTTTACTGAGGGTTTAGGGTTTAGAGGGTGTAGGGTTTAGAGCGTTCAGGGTTTTAGGGATTAGAGCTTTGGTTAGAGGGTTCTGAGTTTAGGGTTTAGAGAGGGTTTAGGGTGTAGAGGGTTTAGGGTTTAGGGTTTTAGGGGTTAGAGCGTTTCGAGTTTAGGGTTTAGAGACTTTGGGGTGAGAGGTCGTATGTATGTGTAGGGGTTTAGCGATCAGAGAAGCAGAGGAGTTAAAATATGAAATTTGTTGTGGCGGTTTTAGGTTTTTCCTTTGCGCAGGCTCGGAATGTAGCACGCATGAAGGATTTGCGGTAGGAGGTGGTTTCGGGCAGGCTGCTGTGCCCAGGAATGTTTATTTGAGCCTCAAGATTCCCATTTTGGAGGGCCAGTGGACTCCGTGAGTAGGGCAGTAATCGGGATAACTGCTGACTTTGCATGGAAACCCTATCCCCTAAGCCCTAAGC